CTATTTATTTATCAGTTTTTTCCGGAAGTTTTTCATCTTCATGATTTTGTAATTTTTTTGGGGAATTCAAATATACATTTAAAATTCCTGAACTTTAAATTAATTAATGACTTGTTTTCACATTTCTGAACTGTTTTTTAATTTCCAAGAATTGTTTGTATATATGCACGTTTTTTGTTTTCATACCTTTTAAAATTTTGCGTTCAATTTTTGAATTTCACAAGAAGAAGTTAAAAATCTATGCTTTATTTATTTCATGAAGTTTTTGGACTCTTTAACTTCTCTTTAAATCATGAACTTTATCTAAATTAGCCAACCTTTTGAAATTAATGAAACAAATTCAAATGTGGGAACTTTCTTGAACTTGCTATTTTTTGAAAAATTCATGAAAATATTTTTGATAAGAATTTTTATTGTGAGCATTTTTTGACTTGTGAACTCTTTTGAAATTCGTGAACTTTGTTTATAATTTTATGAACATTTTTTGAATTTGAGATCTTTCTTTGCAATTTGTTATATTTTGTTAATTCATGGATATCTTTCTGAATTCGTGAAAAAAAAATTATTTATAAAAATCATGGATTTGTGTTCCATAATCATTAACATTTGTTAGATTTGTGAAATTTTCTCAAAACCTGGTTTAAAAAGGGAAAAACCAAAATAAAAAGCCTTGGAAACCAGGCACACTAAAAAAGCGAGCCGACTGTTTAATCTCCTACCTGCTATCTACCACCTACTTTCAATATAAAAGACCCAAAGGGGCAAATATAAGTAATCTCGACCATCAAATCATGTCAATTCAACAACCCATACTACTCCAATGATGAGTGCTCAATATGTTCAGCGTATAATTAATATTATACTCTCTCCGTTTCTAAATGTAAGTGCTCAATTAACAACAGCCACTAGCGAGCGCATATAGTAGTTAGTTAGTTTTTAATTTACTCAAAAAAAGTTAGTTAGTTTTTTATTAGTAATAACTGTGAGTGATGCGTGCTTCAGCATGAAATTATAACGTGACTCTTTTTACTACGAGTAAATGTGTATGTACCAGGCCCAGCGCGACCTGCATCTGCCACACACCGCTTTGTGTACACACGAAAGCAGGTACGGCGGGTATTTCCTGTTCATATTTAAGAAATGTATACATGTTTTAAACATTATTTGACTTCATTTTTAAATATTTTACCGGCCATTAGATATGTTCGTGTAATGTAAAATGTTATTTGTGTAATTAGTTAAAAATGCTCATATCATTTCAAAAATTGTTCACCGCATTTATTAATTTGTTCATGCATTTTTAAAATATGCTCATGATATTCCAGAAGAATGTTCTTGCGCTATGAAAACCCATGAAATTATTTAAAAACGTACATAGCATTCAAAAAATTGTTCATGACATTTAAAAAAACACACATTTAGAAATGTGGTCATTACATTTTTTTAAGTGTTCATGAAAATTTGAAAGTAGCGCCTTGTGGATCATTTTGGTGGTGTGCCGAGATGCAGCCATGTACCAGCTACTGTGGAAATTTTCAGTGGTTGATGTTCGATGTAGAACACTTATTTGGAAAGATCTTCGGCAACAATCTATTCTTTCGGAATCGTTCCCCCTTGCTTTTTCTTGTGTTACATGGGGATCACGAATCTCGGGCGAGGCCTTCCACGTCCTGCTCTCCATGCACGCACATGATGAGGTACGACAAATTCAAGATGACACTAGAGATGTGGTTCTATCTAATACTGATCATGACTCTTAGCACTAGATTTGGGGATCCCGTGATTTCAACGCCAATACCTACTACACTTTCTTATCCCAAGATGTAAATGTTCATCAGGCTTTCATTTGGTTTGGAAATCCAAAAGCGTCAAGAAGATAATGGTATTTGGGTGGTTGCTTCTCTCTGATCGACTGAGCACCCGCAACATGTTACAACCTCGACTATCTCCTACGCGGCTGTCACATTGAAGAAACGGTAAATCATCTATTTCTTAATTGCTCCTTCAGCAAATCGTGTCGGTCCCAAATGGACATTTAATGACACACTGATGTGAAAAACATTATACACAGAAGCTGATCAGTAACGCTTTTTAAAAGGAAGCGTAGTAGCGCTTGCATAGAAAGAGCACTGCTACTATGCACATAGCAGTAGCGCGCTAGTTAAAAAACACGCTACTATTATAATTGCCACACCGTTGCCGGCAGGCTAGGTATACTAGTAGCGCTTTTACGTAAAAAGCGCTACTGCTATTGTACTTAGCAATAGCGTTCTCCTCCAACCGGCGGTACTGCCGAATTCAGTCCCCTCCTAAGACCCAAGTTTAGTTCCACCTCGCTCCGCGAACAGAATATTTACCACCTTAAATATGGTGCTTCTCAAACTATCACAATCACTTGGTCTTCATTGTACTCTATGTGTAGGATCTGTGGCAATATGAATCTTCGCTGGTTCCTAAACCGGCGAAGATTCATACTGACAATTTAGATTCTACACAAAAAGATCATTGATGACCAATGCTTTTTTATGTGTTTTTTATATGCTTAGCCTTAGTAGTAGTGCTGGTTCTCTGGAAGCGCTACTGCGATTGATCATAGTAGTAGCGTTGATTCCCTTAATGCGCTACTACTATGGAGCTTAGTAGTAGCGGTGGTTACCAACCAGCGCTATTACTATGGGCACCATATCCACATCCCGCGCGTTCTCACTCTCTCCTCACACTCACTCGCTCTTTCTCTGCCGTGCGCCGTCGCCCACCGTCACCCACCATCGCCCCCAAGGTATCTGCCTTCCTCCCTCCCTCCTCCTCTCGTCGCCCTCCTCTCTCCTCCCTCCAGCGGTCCTCTCTCCTCTCTCCTCCCTCCTCCCGCCGGCGCCCAATGCTCTCCTTTCACCTCATCCGACCTCCTTGCTCCCTCCTCCCTCTTCCCACTGGCGTCCTCTCTCCTCCCTCCCCCT